TAGTTTCTCCCGTTTTTAAATTATGTGCTTCGTCCACGATTAAAATGGAACTCGCGAAAATAGTGAAGGATAAATTGGAATTGCTCCAATTGTCGTAACTATCATATGACATACTATCATTATCTGGATACATTTCATAATCCGTTACCAATCGAGATGAATCTCTTCTCCGTGAAATTCCACTACCACCAATTCATTTGCCCATCGTTTAAATTCTCGTACTCATCCCGTGATTGCCCATTTAGTTGCAACGATAATAAATGGATGCCGTGATTTTCTTTGTACAAATACGAGATTATTTGAATTGGTTTACTATAGTTAAAAATAAATTAATAATTATAAATAATTATTATTATTATTAATAACTTATTATTATCAAATAATTTATTATTATCAAATAACTTATTATTATCAAATATATTAATTTTACCTAATCCCATATCATCAGCAAGTATACAAGAAGTTCTATCACATTCATCAATCTCTCAACCAGCTAAAGAAATTATTATAATAAAAAAAAAAATCATTAAAAGAAATTATTAATGTTAAAACATTTAAATATAAAAATATTAAAATATTTATTTTAATTTATCCAATTGATTTTCTATAATTTATTTTCATATTTATGATTAGGTTTTTTTACGACTAAAAGGTTCTTTCATATATTTTGAATGTTCAAAGATAATCAGAATTTCTATAAATTCCATATCCCTAACTGTAAAATATTATATATATATATGCATTCAAGTGCATCTTTGAGTTCAAGTCCCTATTTGCTAAATAAATTGTAAATTATAAAATAAATTATAAATAAATTTAAATTAAATAATAAATAATAAATTATAAATAAATTATAAATTACTATAATTTTTAGTTTTTTTCTCTACTTTTTCTTAAAAGTAACTCTATCTAAAAGATCACATAGAGTTGAACCATCTCGATAACTTTAGTCCAATCTTCATGAATGTTCAGGTTTTAATTAATAAATTTCCAAATTTTATTTGATGTTACACCTTTCAACCATGCTTCAGGTACCCAAGCGACATTATGATATTATAAATCTTTCAAATTTTATTAAATTATTCTCGAAATCAAGTTCGGTGTTCGGTATTTTGATTGTTTGAAGAAGATAAATTTACTACTACATTCTTCTTCTTTCTCATTATCTATTCCCATCGCAGTTTATATATAATTCGTGTAATTAGTTCAATACATAATAAAATTATGATATAATGATGTTTTGACCTTCACGTTATTCATATCTAAGCAATTTACAAAAAAAAATAAACTTCTACCTTACATACTATAAGAGAACAAAAAATCCTAATGAATGCTCAAAATGCAATCAAGAATATAATAGTTGAACTGTTATTCGTTTATTAGCATAAAATCGTATAATAAGAATAGATTATCGTAAAAAAATCAAAATGCATGCTCTCATTGTGATTATTCTCATTGATGTAGACAATTTTGAAAAAAAAGTTTTTCGGGTATTTAAAAGTTGGTTACTAGTGACAAAGATAACATTTACGTTATGTGGGCAAACAAAAATTACACAAAATCATTGTCACACAATTTCTTCTTTAGGATTTCTATATTAGATGATAATTTCGGCCTATTCTATACGAAAAAGATTCCTTCCTCGAATAATAAAAAGATTTGATTCGAACTGAAGATCGAAATATTACAAAATTTGATTATAATTCATTTGAAGATATCAAACCAATTGTGAGGGGAGGATTTGGTTTAGTCAATCGTGCCTATTCGAAAGTTTTAAAAAAACACGTTGCATTAAAATATTTGCATAATGAAAATAGTGATAATTTTTATAAAGTGTTTATT